AGTTTACAAAATCTGATATATATAAGTTCACGATTATTAGTCTCATTATCTTGTTTATTACATTATTAATTGTACCCAGTAATAACAGTGTATAAAAATGGGGGTTAAAAGTAATAGAATGAGACTGTGTTGTAATTTGGTTCACATTTAATTTCTTATTATTTAATTTGTATATAATATTACAATAGCTTTATGCATTAAAAATTAATTGAATTCTAATCACCGGCTTGATTTAGATTTACTCGGTTGTAGCGCCACCTCACATTTGATTATACTGTATTTAATTTACAAATATATCGAATTATTATTATTAACTAATTAAAAAAAATCGATACCGGAATATAATATGTTAAACTTCATTATTTTCTTAAGGTTGCTCTTGAGGAATGTCATGTGGAGAGGTACAACTCCAGTATCCCTTTCTCTCCTTATGGATGTAAGCGTTTGACTCCTGTCAGCGGAACCTGTCGGCTGGCTGATAAACTCTTCTTCTCTTTACCAGTAGAAACATGCAAACATCAACGACAGTATAACATTTGTGAAATAACAGTATGTTTGTAATTATTTTATATTGAATCGTGGGGGGGGGGGTAAGGGCCAGGGCCCTCCGTCGGGGAGGGCTGCCCCCCGCCCCTCGACGGGGAGATAAAGCACAATTCGTCGGGGAAAAAAATTGTATGTATTTTCTACATGTTAGTAGACTCTAAAATCGATTAAATAAGCCTTTTGAAACCCTGAATTGTCAAAATTTTCGGGGGCCTCGCCCCTGGACCATTTTCGATTTCAATCGAAGCTCCACCACACCCACTTTTCTTTCGTCGGGTAAATGTGATCCCTCGTCGGGGCACGGGCAAATCCTGGCGCCACTCCTCTGGCAGTGTAAGAGTATAATGAAGGTGAATAGGTGATATGCCGGAGTGACAGAGATTATGTACCGTATGTTACAAAGAGTAGTACGAGTGAAGAAAACTAAAGTAGAAGAGAGAGAGGGAGAGCTGAAAGAAGGGTGGTTATTTCATTTGAAAATATATCAAGAGATGATATTAATTTGTTACTTTTTACATGTGTTACATGTTAGTTGATTTGATCCGTTGTCGATGGTAGCCCTTTCCACTTGCCAAGTAGTCTTTCCTGAGACCACTGCATTCAGTTCTTGCCGCTAAACTCCCTGATTACCACCTCATCATCGTATGGGTCACTCTATGTTTATTCTTGGTAAACGATGTGTCCAATCTGCGTCTGGAAGGTATTTGGGGTACGGTATGCCCTGACCCCTTGAAGTTTCGAAGCTTTAGCCATTTTCATTTTTTATCTAAATTATTTCACGCTTTGTTTGTGATTTTTGTTTGGCTGCTGCCAGGGCCAGGTTCTGTAGGTGTGTCCAATTTACTAGCCCCTTGATCTGCCATTGTAAATGATGTGATCAGTCGGTAAATTCACTTTATTGGTTTTTTTTTTCGTTGCAGGAAACTGGTGGTGACTTTGTTACAAAATGTTCGGATAGAATTTGTGTAGATAACAAGGTCACTCTTGGTGAGATTGATCCTGACACGGGTAATCTAAAATGGCAGAATTTTTCTTCAATTCAGGGTCTTGAAAGACACTTGAATACGGTCTTCGTTAAAAAGATCGATCATTACGGGTTTTGTTTTATCAGATGTACAATAGACGTTAACGATTTAATGGAAAGAAAGGGGAATGGAGTTGCCACCAACAGTTCCAAGGAATTTAAGGAATACATAAGGATAGGTGATATGGCCCAGCAATTGCTTATTGTGCCTCCACATATTAATATAAATAAAGAATCTTCGGCTCACGTAAACATCAACATCTTATTGCTAGACTCTGTCTCGCATAGTCACTTCTTACGCTCGATGCCTAAAACTCTGCAAACGCTTCGTGGGTAACATGGAACGACTGTTTTAAATTTTGAATTGGTTCAGTCGCTAAAAGGTAAAACATATCAAAATCTGCAAGCTTTGTTCTCTGGGGAGCTTTATGACGTTGAAAACCCTTTTGGCATTAATGACATTCTCCCAACTCCTGTCAACTTAAACAAGCTTTTATCTGGATTCAAAAAGCAAAAATATGAAACTATGTACACGGAAGATCTTCGTTGGATATGGAAGTGGGGGCTTGTCAGAAATCTGTTAGCATATATGCCAGAGAATGACATCAAAACTAGATGGAAATTATTTAAAACGTCTCTGAAAAATGCTGGCATTGATCGTATAGATATGACTCTAGTTTTGCAAGATAACCATCGATATGATCCGTTCGTCGGACCTCCTGCTATATGTTACAACGCGCAATATCAGCATCATTATATATTAGAGTATCTTAGTATGCGACAGATGTCGCTGGAAGTGAATTATCAGCCGTTTTTTCATAACACTCTCTTGAATGTTGCTCACGATGATACTGGCCGCGGCATACAAACACTTGACGAGGATCTAGCAAACTACGTGAAAACACTTTCAAAATTAAACAACACATATACCATTATTCTGTCCGATCATGGAAATGCCTACGGTGAATACATTAAGAAAAATGAAGAAGCTGGAGTGGAGATGTTCCATCCGGTCTTGTTTATTGTCGTTCCACCAGGCGTTTCCAAAACTCTGGGAGAAAAGCGTATGAATGCATTGAAGGTGAACCAACAGCGCCTGGTCAGTATTCTGGACATTCACTATGCTTTGAGGTTTTTAAGCGAAGAAAAACTAGGCAAATTAGATGAAATACATCAGAAATATTCAATAAAATCTGATGGAGTTTTCTCAGAGATTTCTGTGAACAGATCGTGTAGTAGCATTCCTGCAATTGACCCAAATATATGCATCTGTCAAAACTACGAATATGATGCAAACAATGACGCAAGGTACGCATTGATGGCGGAATTCGCTCTTGGTTCCATCAACAATGCAATACAGGAGCAATTTCGCAAATCGAATCCAGATGCTTTGAGAGGCTTTGGTTCTTGTCAACGACTAGTGGCGCACCATTTTGGCAACATCAAACAAAGACACAGCCAGGTCAGATAGCGTATTTTTTTCATTCACTAAAATATAATTGTTTTCTCCAAGTATTATATATAGAGTTGAACAATTAGTTTATTAATGAGAATTGTCATCTGTTCAATTGATGAATATAATATGTTTGCAATATCAGATCTATAATAAATTCCAATCTCCTAAATTACAGACACAATAGCTACCAT